ATCACTGTGACGTTCGCTGCGCCAACTAGCGGTGGGGTATCTGAAGCTGGCTCGTAACCCGAATTTTTTTGAGCTTGCAACTCAAAGCAAAAAATCGGCCGAGAGACGGCTCTATCTCAAAAAAACTCGTTAGTCGGGACACTCGTAAGTCAAGGCCCCACTGTATTTAGTTTAACACTTTACCACACAGCTCTGGAGTCACACAGGCCTGGGCGGAAATTCCAGCTCCTGCATTTGCTTAAGTGTGTCACTTTGAACGAGTTACCTAACCTCTCCAAGCTTTATTTTTCTCATTTGTAAATTGGGGATACAATTAATGGGGTTTTGAAATCTCTAGATATCTCGTAGAGCTTTTGTGCAAGAAGACATGTAGAAAAGATTCCGGTTCTATGTGAAAAGTAGCATAAACAGGGTTTGTGCCCTTCCTAAAGACCAAGAATACCTGAGACTGTGACTCTAATTGCGTGGACCACCAAGTCCCTTGGTATAGATCAGCAAGGGATAGTTGGTAGGGTGAAGTAAGGCTTGTGGTTTTGTCACCTGATGATGTGGGATTGACACAGGTGTGGCTGCTCCAGATGTGGTTGAGGAAGTGTAGGAACAGTATGGGGTACCAGGCATGACTAATTTGCAGTGAGTTTCAGGTGGGTGTTGACACTGGAATAGACTCTCAAAAGTCAACACTTAGAGAGTTTCTAGCCCTAAGAAAGTGGGCAGGCTCTGTGCAGCAGAGGCCAGGACAGGGCAGGGCCCACAGTGACCATGCAGGCACTTGGTGGCCATGGGATGCCCACCTTCCTGATGTCTCTCCTTTGTCCATCCCTGAATTATTCCTCAGGGAGGGAGCAGTGACTGGCTTCTATGCCTCTGTCAAGTCCAGATGTACTTTTGGGGCCCTGCAGCATGAACACCAACACCTAGGAGATGTGTCTGGCCTTGGAAAGCAGGCACTTGGCTGGCTGGTGAATGAGTCCATGTCATTGCTCAGCTCACTGAAGAGACTGTTTCCTCAGAGATTTGAGAGGCCCCAGGTCTAGTTCTACTCTGCAGAGCTTGGTTGCATGGGGACTGGTGGGGCTGAGGAGGGAGAGTATAGGGGAGCAGGGCTTGGGTCTTGAAGGAAGGAAGGAGGGATTTCCTACTGATTGCTTAAATGTAGAGGGCTGTTCCTTCTACAGAAGTCTTGAGTCCTGCTCTAGCCCAGTTGGCATGGCTCAGTGGATTGAGCATTGTCCCATGCACCATAGAGGTCGCTGGTTCTATTCTCTGTCAGGGCATATGCCCAGGTTGTAGGCTTGATCCACAGTAGAGGGTGTGCAGAAGGCAGCTGATCTATGTTTCTCTATCATCAATGTTTCCTATCTTTTCTCCTCCCTTCCTCTTTCTATAAAAAATCAATAAAAACATACTTTTAAAAAAGAATCCTGCTCTAGTAAGGGTACAGGGGAGTCAGGAAGACATGCCTCCATCTATCCTCTAAATACCCTGTGGGTGCTGGGGGCCAGCATTCAAACCAGTTATTTTCAGTACACACAGGAAGGGTTGAGGCTTTAAAAGCAAACGGTGAAACCTAACAAAGCTGTTGTTTGTACAGTTGTCTTATGGAGTTGTGAATCTAAATTCTGTTTGGCAGGTGATTTATACTAATGGCCCTGCTCCTGAGTCCCTGCCTCCAGCATTTCTCAACCTTCTCTAACCTCGCCAGCTGGGCTGGCTTCCTTGGTGCATGTCCATTGGCCCCATCCCACTGTCTTAACCCTGACTCATCTCCTGTGTCCCTCAGTAGTAGGGTTTCTTGAGGACATTGATTGACAACCCTAGGTCCTCAAAGCCCAGCACCATGCCAGGCTTATGGTTGGCTCACTGGATGTTTGAAGGAATAGTGGGATATAAGAGAAGCAAGCAGGTATCTGTCTTCCTCTAGCTTTCTCTTGTGAGCTTTACTCTCATTCTTACACCTGTGCATATAGAATCCCCCTATGAAGGTTTTACTGCCAGTTTTGAAGCTTCTCTCTCAAGCTTCTTTCTTTTTCTGTTTGTGTAAACCTGAATCTTCCTCTGCCTCTTCCCACCCTTCCTTCCCTCTTCTTTCCTCCTCCAGTCCATGCAGTCCATTGCTTGGCTCTCCCATGGCCTCTTTCCTCTTTAATCCTCATTGCTTCCATCATCAAAACCTCTATCACATTTAAAAAAGAAAGTGTTCCTGAACCTAAAGGTATCCAAGTGCCTGCTGTGTTGTGGGCACTTGGGTACATGGACCTGTGTTGGAGGAGGTGGGGCCAGATCTCCAGCCTACCCCTTCCTTTCTCCCAGCATCAGCCTCTTCCGTCACTTGTGGTCTTCACTTTGAACTCATTACTCTTCTTAAGCCCCTTTCTCTCCATTGCCTGTGTGATACTGATTCCTTGGTTGGCATTCAAGGCCTTCTGTGACCTTGCTCATTGACCTATCTCTCAGTCATGTCCTGTTGCTCCCTTTTGTGCATACTCCACGTGCCAGCCAAACTGGTACATACCCATTATCTCCTACTTCTTCCCCTGTCATCACATGGCTTCCTGCCAGAATGTCCTCCCCTTCACTTTTCCCCTGTCCGAATCTTGTCCTTATTTGTGATTCACCTCAAGTGCCCTCTCCTCCAGGGATCTTCCTCTGCTCTTATTTGGTAAACAGTGAGTGCTGTGGTGCGTCCACTGCTGCAGGGCAGATGCTGTACTGTCCCTGCTCTCCATAGTGTCCCCTCATCTCATTGCCTCCAACAGTACATATCCTTTTTCTTCCCTGCATCCCATGTCCTCTCTTTGTAGATAAGTTGTGTCTAGGTCAAATTCTTTACAGCCACCTTTCTGCCTAGTACAAGGATTCAGCTCGCAGTAGACTCTGAAGGGGTGCTGGCTGCATAATTGAACACCAGTTTCAAGGCTTTGTCTCATTTAATCCTCACAACAGTCCCTTGACGTAGATGCTAATATTATCCATATCTTCCAGAGGAGAAAAACGAGGCTCAAAGACATTGAGCAGTTTTCCCAGGGTCACACAACTCGTAAACCACAGAGCTGGGATTTGTGTGCCCAGGATTTTTCTGCCTTTTAACCATTGCTATGTGACCTCAGTGAATGGGGTAGATACAACTCCAGATAGGATGTATAAAACCCATCAGAGGATATAGACTTCTGGAGATGCCACCGATTCAGAAAGAACTCTTTATTTTTTAAATTAATGTGCCCAGTGGGTTTCACTGTACCCTTTACCAGGAATAGCTCACAGCTGGGGTTTCATCCAGATTGGGGAAGATTCGGGGGCTGCGTGGAGGTGTGCAAAGGGTGGGAAATGGGTACATCTGTAATAGGGTCAGCAATAAAAATAAAGTTAAAAACAAAAATTGGGGAGGGGAGGAATGGGGAGAAGCAGCCAGAGAGATAAATTGATCTTTCCAGATTCTCTTGTAGCAGTGACTTCCCAGGAGCTGGCATTTCAAGGTCCCTCCTCCTGGTAGATGAGGCTCTGGGTGTTGGAGAAAGACAGCAAAATTGCCTTTCTGTCTCTGCACTTCTTTAACCTCTTCCTCTACCCCCTAAATACTTAAGGGGTAAATATTGTTAGGTACTATCCTGAGTCCTCTCGGGCCAGAGTTTGAATCAGTCCTGTTCAGATGAGACCTGTCAATACTTTAAAGTTCAAAACAACGAGTTAACATGATTTAAAAAAGACATTTTTACTGTTGAGGTTGGGAGGAGAGAAAAGCCCTCACAGCCGCAGACTGTAAAAGGCTCCAAGCCTTGGCTTCGGGGGACAGTTTTCTTAGCTTACACCCCCACTTATGACTCCATTTGCAAGGACTTGTTTCTAAGCCTGGATGTTTTACATCCCCATGGCCCTGCCAGGAGTTAGCTGAGGGCCACGGTTTAAACCTGCAAAGGGTATGATTAGAGGCTTTGTGTCTGGAGCAGTCTGTCTTTAGCAAGGAAAGCCGGGAGCTGGCGGGTGCCTCCCTGTGTTGAACTGTCTGGATAGCTCAAACTCTGGACTAGTAAAGTGATTCAATGAACAGACACTTAAGAGATCTCTTGTGCCTTGCATTTCATGTGACATAATAATTTAGTTCTCACTACAAACCTATTTTGCAGCCAAGGATACAGACAGTGGAAACAGCTGTAATTTTCCCAAAGATACCTGACTGAGGCATCTCTTAACTGTAGTCTAATGGGGAGAAGAAAGGACTGGTCAAGCTTCAGGACAGAATCCTTAGGATATATTTCCATATTCCTGTTCTTGTGATGTGGACAGATAGATAATCAAGATAATCAAGAACTAGAGACCACCTTTTAAAGAGGGGAGACTAGTGCTGTGGGAGCCATTTGGTTGGATCCTGACTAGTGGAGGGAGTAGAACATTGTGAAGATTTGGTATCAGTGTTAGAGGCACAAGTGGGAGGATCTGCTTGCTTGGTATGGTCATTTCCAAGCTCTGAGTTGGTGGTGGATGGGGTGGGCCTGTCTCAGTTGTAACAAAAACTCAGAGCTTATGATCCAAAACCAGACAATACTCAAAATCACAGACTTAGAGAATGCTACACCTAGAAGGGGCTCAGAGAATCTAAGGTTTTGTTTACTTTTACAGACAGGAAACTGAAGCCAGTGTGGAAGCAACAGGCCTAAGAGAATGGTGTGTTAAGCCACAGAATCTAGACAGCTTGCTGGTCTGAGCTGAGCCTATAGGACGGGAAGGGGGTTTAGTAAAAGAAGAGAAGTTGAATGGAACAGGATCATAGGAGGTCAGGGCAGTGGATTAACGTATGTTTCTGAGAAATTAGCCAGTGTGGAGGGGAGTGGCTAGGAAGCAGTTGGGAGGGTTAGCTAGGCCACGTCCAGATTTGTAGGATACAGTGACAACAGTGTCTTTGGAGATGGAGGGGAGTCCACAGTGAGGGGAAAATCAATACTGCAGGAGGAGAAGGAAGGCTATCATAGCATGGGGATCCTTTCCCAGCTATGAGATAGGGTCCAGAGCCCGGACAAGCAGCCGCAGATGGTGGTGTTACGAGCTGACAGCTTGCCCTTCCTCACCCTGACCCTGCAGGTGATTGCCGTGGTGATGGATGTATTCACAGACATCGACATCTTCAGAGACCTGCAGGAAATATGTCGGAAACAGGGAGTTGCTGTATACATCCTTCTGGACCAAGCTCTGCTCTCTCAGTTTTTGGATATGTGTATGGATCTGAAAGTTCATCCTGAACAAGAAAAGGTTTGTGTTACACTGTGTCTGATTTAACCACAATCAAAAATAGGACCTATCTACATAGCAGTCAGTAGTGGTATCCCCATTATAAGAGAGGGAACTGAGGCCATGAGCAAGGTGATTTATTTGCCTGAAGTCTCACAGAAAAGAAACGACAGTCAGGATTCAAGTCATTGTCCCTCCCTCACATCATGCTGCCTCCTAACTAGGAGCCTGACTGTTCACGTCAAGAGGCTGCCTTGGATGCTGCTGCTTTTGACTGTAGTGCTGGTAGGTTCTCATTTTAATCATAATGACCACATTTATGGTGTCCTGGGCACTGGCCTGGGCTCTTGACAAATGTTATTCAATTTAATCCGCACAGAAGCCTTATCGAGTAAGTGGCAGGAAGGGGTGACACAGAGAATCCAGTGTCTACAACTGGAAAGTTAGTGGGACTGGGTTTGACTCCCCATCTACCATCACTGTCCCATGGTGTCTCTCATGTCTCATTATAAAATTAGGCTTTTTATGGCCTTTGCTCTGAGCATGGCTGTATTTAAATCTAAGGTTAGCCCTAGCTGGTTTGGGTCAGTGGATAGAGAGTTGGCCTGCAGACTGAAGGGTCCCGGGTTTGATTCGGGCTTGATCCCCAATAAGGGGCGTGCAGGATGCAGCCCATCCATGATTCTCTCTCATCACTGATATTTCTCTCTCTTTGTCTCCTTCTCCCTTTCTCTCTGAAATCAATAAAAATATATTTTTAAAAAATCTAAGGTTGGCCCTGGCTGGTTTTGCTCAGTGGATAGAGTGTCAGCCTGTGGACTGAAGGGTCCCGGATTCGATTCCGGTCAAGGGCACATGCCTGGGTTGCGGGCTCAATCCCCGATGGGGGGCATGCAGGAGGCAGCCAATCGATGATTCTCTCTCTCCCTCTCCCTTCCTCTCTGAAATCAATAAAAATAAAAATAAATAAGAAATAAAAATCTAAGGTGGTACAACTTAACTAGCTTGCTCTCTTTAGTGGAAAGAGGCAAGAAAAATAGTCATACTTATTACACCATTCTTTTTTTTTTTTTTTAATCAACTTAACCTGTGAGCTTCAGAATTTAATTTATCAACATAGTTCATTGCCTAGGAGCACCTACTATGAGCTATTCTAGGTACTGGAAATAAAACAGTCAGCAGAATGAACAAAAAATATGGGTAATTGCATATGGACATACAGTTGCTGCCTTGTTTTTTTTTAAAGGATTGAATCTTTTTTTAAAAAATATATTTTATTGATTTTTTTACAGAGAGGAAGGGAGAAGGATAGAGAGTTAGAAACATCAATGAGAGAGAAACATCGATCAGCTGCCTCCTGCACACCGCCCACTGGGGATGTGCCCGCAACCAAGGTACATGCCCTTGGCCGGAATCGAACCCAGGACCTTTCAGTCCGCAGGCCGACACTCTATCCACTGAGCCAAACCAGTCAGGGCTGCTGCCTTGTTCTTATCAAGCAATTTGGTTTTGCAAAATTTTAGCTATTTAACGTCTCCCACAGAGTTCTTGTTGGTTGTTTTCCCTAATGAGGAAACCGAGGATTGGGTTTAATTAGGTAATTTTCAACTTGTTGCTAATGCTACAAAGCAAATCACGGTGGAGGTAGGATTGTAGCATGGAGACCCAAAGAAATGAACCAGCCATGTGACCCAACAATCAAATGAGAAATGAGATCAGGTCAACCCAAGGAATATGCAAATCAGGCATGGAAAAGTACATTGTCCTGTAGCCAAATGTTCATCTATGACTGCTCACAGAGAACCATGTGAGGACATTGAAGGCATCAGTGTTTAATTTCAAGGCACTTGTTCTGTAATTAAGGTGGTATGTTATCAGCAGGAAAATCACAGATTAGTTCTAGCCGCCACTTTGGTCAAGTGATTGTCTGTGATTCATCTACTTGGCAGAAATCTAGGAGTACTGTCTGTCTGCCTACTCAGTTGCCCAGAGCTGGTTGGTGTCTTTATGGTTGTCTTTTATGTCTGCAGGAGGAGTTGAAAGGAGGTCTGTACCTTTTGCCTCACCAATTTTCATCATGTCTTAACTCCTTCCTAGGGAAGCACCATCTTTGCTGGCTGCTTCTCACACCTGGTGTGTCTATGCTGGTGAACATGTGCCCTCACCAAGTCAGGGCTGCCTTCCTCCCCCAGGCCCTGGCTCTGCAACTGGTTCAGATGTTGGGTGTCCTGTCTGTAGGAACTTGGTCACACATTTGTGTATAGGCCTCAAAAGTGCTTTGGCCACAATCACAGAGGCCTGTAAAACATTCTGATATAAGGGCCAAAGAGACAAGATGCACAAAATCAGGCCTAAATCTGCCCATAGTGATATTTTTTATGCTTTTTATTATATGTTGATCCTTTGAAGCTCTGCTTAGGAGTCATTACCTTCTCCAGGAAGCCCTCTCCTGCCAGCTCCATATGTACCTTTGTGGAAGTTACTAGCTTTTTTAAAAAATTAATTTCCATTTTAAAACAATTTATGATTTACAAAGGAGTTACAAAAGCAATATAAGAAATTCATGAATATTTGTAGCCCAAGTTCTCTAAATGTTAACATCTTACAAATCTCAGTACAAATTTGAAAAATCAAGAAATAAACGATATAATACTATAGGGTGTCCCAAAATTCACGCAAGAAGTAATTTTGATAGAAAACAGGTTTATAATTAAAAATTGTAAATTTTTTATTGATTCATAAAGTATACAGTATAGGGTTATGTATGGAATAGCACATCGGGTAAATGGCCTCCACGGCTTTGCTGGCACATACGCAAAGCTGCGGTCTTCATTGGTCTTCATTGTCCCTGCTCCTGGGCCATAATTGGTACTTGGTAATGCTTATCAAATTGAAGGGATTGAAATCAAAGGGCAACAGATATTAGAATCTGATTCAATAAACCAAGTAAAATTAGGCTTTTATTTGTTGTTGTTGTTGTTGTTAATGCTCTCGCAAAATTCAAATCTTGCGTGAATTTTGGGACACCCTATATTATCTGAGCTAAAGATCTCATACAATTCACTAATGATTCCATGGAAGTCCTTTTTCTTGTCTAGGATTCAGTCCAGGACCATAGCTGGCATATAGTTGTCATGTCTCCTTTGCTTCCTCTCATCCTGAACTGTTCCTCCTTTGTCTTTTAGGGTCTTGATACTTTTGAAGAACATTAGCCAGTTTTCTGTAGAATTTAGGTTTCTGATGCTTCCTCATGGTTAAATTCAGATCATGCATTTTGGTAAGAATACCATTGATATGATGTTATGTGTTGCCATAGTTTTCTTTGGTTTGCCTTTTGTTTTTATTTTTGAAGTGATAGATTCCTAGGAATTGCAGATAATACAGAAGTTTCCATGGATCCTTCACCCAGTTTCCCCCAATGGTTATGTAACTTATAGTACAATAGCAAAAGATGGAAATGGACATGGGTACAGTGTGTGTCTATAGTTCTGTGCCATTTTGTCACGTGTACATATGAGCACCACTACCACCAAGATATAGAGCTATTCTGTACCATTGAGATCTCCCTCATGCTACACCTTTATAGTCACATCCACTCCTCCTCCTACCATGTTTAACCCTGGAAATCACTACTTGTTCCCCATCTCTATAATTTTATCATTTAGGGAATGTTACATAAATGGAACCATGTAGTATCTGACCTTTTGATATTGGCTTTTTTCCCCTCAGCATAAAGCCCTTGAGATCCATCCAAATTGTTGTGTGTATCCAATAGTTTGTTCCTTTTAATTGCTGAGTAGTATCATGGTATGGTTGTTTAACTGTTCACCCATTGAAAAGCATTAGAATAATTTCCAGTCTTTTATTGTTATGAATGGATACTATGAATATTTGTGTACAGGTTTTTGTGTAGACATAGATTTTCACTTCTCTGGATGATTTAGTCTTGCTATAATTTTTTAATCATTCATTACTTTTCTCCTATCTAGTCCTTGCAGGTCAGGAGTGTACCTTATCACAAGAAGCATGCCTTATATCTCTTTTATCTCAAGGCCTGGTACATAGGGGCTTTCTTTGTTTGTAGAGTAAATGAGAGAATCAAACAAAAATCTTAAACATTTAATTTGAATGTGTAAGATTTCTAAAAATATTTAGCTACTGATCTGCCCCAAAGAATGCAGATTGTCTTAGTATTTTGTATACCATTGTATATACATTTACGTGTGTCATTTTACAAAGATAATTATGCATATACATGCAGTATATAACCCCAGTGTGATTCCATTGTACCTTTCTGGTAAATACATACTTGTAGGAAATATGACATTGCTGATTAAGCCACATGTGATATGAATGTTTGCTGCCTCAAGTCCTGTATTAGAAAAGGCTCATAGTATGTTCTCTAGACCCATTGTTGTGTGTGGGTGAGGATGGGTTGTTTACTGGTGATTCTATTAGACAAAAGTAGGAGAAATATCAACTTAGCTTCTTTAAACCTTTGTTAAGATGTTATTTATTACTAGTGTGTTTCCTTTGATAATTTAATCCCCCATGTTTTATTTAAAAAGTCATTTCCTAGATTCTATTGTTTAGTATTATCAAAAAGTGAGTCTTCTTTTAGAGTACATGTACACATGAACTAAGGGTCTCAAAAATAAAGATAAGAAATGGGCATATGAGAAGCTGGACTAAATGTGAAGCAACATTAGTTGAGCTCCTGAATGGGGACTGTGAACCATTCATGGCCAATAAATTTGTCTGTTTGGGAATTGTAAACTAAGCCCTCTTGTCTTAATCATTTGTTCACTAGATTATTCATTTCTTTTTTCCACACTCTCCTGCCAACAGCTGATGACAGTTCGGACTATTACAGGAAATATCTACTATGCAAGATCAGGAACTAAAATTGTTGGGAAGGTTCATGAAAAGTTCACATTGATTGATGGCATTCGAGTGGCTACAGGCTCCTACAGGTAAGTTTCTCACCTGCTCATGCTTATTAATCTAAATTTTTTAGAAGGAGCATGCTATGTAAAGGCAGAAGCTTCCCCACCCTCCCATCCCCCAAAGCCAGGCTTTATGGCCAGGCATTCTGAGATGTGTGCATCTGTATGTGAGTAGGTTAATCAATACCTCCTCCTACAGAAGGTAGTTGAGGTTGGGGTCACCTCCCCTGCCCTGTGGTCTACAGAACTGAAGTGCAGAGGTTGAAATTTGTCTGGAGACCCCACGGCGAGCAAATCCTAGATTCAAGCCGCAGCTAGGCCCACAGTGGATGAATTAGGAATAACAGTGACAGGACCAGTCTCAAGTCTGGTTCCTGGGTACTTTGAACGCCTTGTCCCTGCTCACTTGGTGGTAAGGGCAGTCTCAGCCATGGGCATCAGAGTAGAGGGCAGAGCTGACGCTGTCAGCTTACACGTAACTCCTTCACCTTGCTTCAAGGCTTGTAATCTTGTGCTTTAGAAAGTACTGATCCATGTTCTGCCTCCACCTTTGAAGTCTCACATTGGCAACGGCATCTTAAGGGAGAGTGTAGAGAAGTTGAATAGAGGGTGGAGGTAATGAGTGGTTAACACTAATCTCCAGAAGTTAAGACATGCCGTTTTTTCTCCTGCGGCTTCGATGTTTGGCCAGCTCTGCATCTGATCGTCTGATGGGGTGCATGAGGTGTGTCTGTAGAGTTTAAAAATGAAAAAATCATTTTTGAAGAAACACATTCCTGAGTGATAATTATGTGTCAGCCCTGGGTAAAGGTGGAAAGATTTGTGGACGATGAAGGCGGTAAGATGAAGAAAGCCTTGATGCCTTTCTTCTCAAACAGTACCTTCAATGCTGGGGAAAAAGTCACACTCTTCCTGAAACTTCCTTTCATAAGAAATTTTTAAATAACTGGAGGAATCTAGATTTTTCACCCAAAGTAGATTTGATCTGTATTAGCCAAACTTAGCTCAACTGGTTTTTGGCTATTCTAAAATATAAAAACTACCCTCTACAGATGCAGTATGCTACCATTGAGGGTGAAGATGATGATAGCTTTCATTTGTTACAGACATTTTTATAATCCCGGTATAGATAGGTGTCTTATTTATGTGAACTCATTGAGGGTTTTCAAAAGACTCTTCTCTCTCAGTGGGGTGATTGCAAGTGCAGAAACCTAACTCAAACTATGCAGATGGAATTTTTTGACTCCTGTGACTTAGAAATGTCAAAAGATTTTTAGCTCTTTTTGACCTAGAGGCCATCCATTTATCTGAACACTGTCTTCTGGTTCTTCTTTTCTCCAGTTGGTCTTTAGTCTCAGTTAGCTCTCCATTTGAAGGCATAGATCTAGGCTTTCTCATGAGGCCTTTCATAGCTGTCTCCCAAAGAGAGAGATTTTATTTCTCTCAGCACTGCTTTTAATCCTTGAAAAATTACTTGGCCTGAGGTGGGTCACATGTCCACCCTGGGTAGCTCCCCGTATCCAAGGGGGTAGGATAGTCTGGCCATCCTGGTAATATGCTCTTGTAATTGGAGAGGCGCATAAATGAAGACCTTGGCGAGGATAGGGGTGGGTTCTGTCACCAGAGGAAGGAGGAGGGATGCTGGACAGTCAGGGGCACATGGCCTACTCAGCTCTGAGTGTGCTTCCAGCAACAGCGTCACGGTTAGAATAACAGCATTGCACTGGCCATACTTAAGGACTGGGCCTGGTCTGGGGTCCACCACAGTTTCCTTCTATGAAACCACTAGCCGTTTCCTCACTTCGAAAATGAGGGCACTGGCCAAATATTTTAGAAATCCTTTCTAGTTTTTAAAAACTGAGGTTGAGGGTGTGTAGGTTGTAGTGTGTTGGTTAAACAGTTGGTCTTTTAACTTTTATGTTAACCTGTATATGTCATATGCCTGTGTTAAGGCTGAATTTAAACTACATGATAGGTATGCTGTCATCAGAGTTATGAATCTTATGTAGCAGGATATCTGGGCTTTATTACTCAGATTGACATAAGAAAAGACTAAAGTTGCTTATTCTTACCAGTGTCTGTTTGTTTTTAATCCTCAAGTTTTACATGGACAGATGGCAAATTAAATAGCAGTAATTTGGTCATTCTGTCCGGCCAAGTGGTTGAACACTTTGATCTGGAGTTCCGAATCCTGTATGCACAATCAAAGCCCATCAGCTCCAAACTCCTGTCCAGCTTCCAGATCAACGGCAAGTTTGACCATCTAGTTGACCGGAAACCATTGTCCAAGGAGCTCACGTTGGGCAATCTGCTGCGGCAGCGGCTGGCCAGGCTCTCAAGCACCCCCAAGAAGGCCGAGCTGCTGTGTGGGGCACCCACCAAGGGCAGGGCAGAGGCCAGGCGCCACGACTCTGAGTCTTCCACCATCAGCGAGGAAGACTACTTTAACAGCCACAAGGAAGAACCAGAAGGTGGAAAGGTGACTGATGCTGCCACTCAGACAGAGCCAGGAGAGGAGATGCCAGTGGTGAGCGTGAGTGACTCGGGAACACAAACCAGCACCGCCATAACTAGTGCTGGGACCCAAACCACAGTTGCCACCAGGGCAGCGAGCTCACAAACCATGGTTCGGTTCATGTCGGCCACCACCCAGACTGATGTGGACGAGAATGTTGTCTTTTCTCAGGGAATCCAGTCTAAAGAAGGGTCACCTGTATCAAAGATGTCTGTCTCGAGATCTTCCAGTTTGAAATCATACTCCTCGCTGTCTTCCCAAGGCTCTGTGGCAAGCTCCATTGGCTCCCAGACTTCCATCAGAACCACTGACCTCATCCTTCCTGGACATTCCAAGTATTGGGGTACCCCCCACTTTGACTCATTTAGAAACTTGAATAAAGAGCGGCAGTTTCACTTTTCTGCCATCAGGTCCCGGCTCCACCATATGCTGGCCATGTTGTCAGGGAGAACAGTTCTTACTGAGAACTATATTGGCTTTAATTCTGGAAATTTTACCAGAGCACCAGTTAATTTACTGGCTATTCGAGATATTACACTCTATCCCTCCTATCAGTGACTGCTCAGTGTTCAGAGTCTCCTGGGTTCCTCCAGGCTTGCAATAGACATCATCAGAGCATCCTGCTCTGCAAAATGTCTCCTGTCCCTAATTGTTTTTCTTTTGCCTGACTTTTAGTCACCCTGATTTTCTTTGAATTCTATAAACTGCACATTATTTTACATGCTTTAATTTTGTTTTTGTCATATATAAACCGGCTATTGGTTTTATGGTTACAACACTATGGGTACAGTTTCTTTGCACATTTTTAACATTGATATCTTTTAAAGAGGTAAATTCTGGTAAGAGATAAAATATGTTTTGCATTTTCCTAGATTTGTGTGTTCTTCTGTTTAAGAGCTTTGAATCACTAGTTTTTATGGTCAAAATCCTGTTTAGAATAAATGGTTTCTTAATTGTCTCTTCTTTAGGATATCTGTGTTCTTAGTATTAACTAAATATAAACAACTTTTATTTGGTGATTGCTTGAGTACCTTTTTTTCCCTTTTTTTCTTTCAGGCATTTTTCTCTTTAACTCTGGGAGTATGTCACAAGTAATGTACCTAAAGCTATTTTTGTGTGGAGAAAAGTACATGATCCAAATTGTGAAGGAAAATATTCACTTAAAAGATAGAAGACATAAAACAGCAAGCATCAGGGTCACCCCTTCCTTAGCATTATGAATATTGATGTTACTCTCTCTATAGTGTGAATGAGGACACTTGCCAGAAATCGCAGTCTTTTCATGTGCCTTTAGCTGTCTCTTTTCAAAGAAAAAGCTTGAGCTATTTAGACAGTGATCTTGGTTCTCTGCTTCTCTGCCAAAGAAGGCCTTAGTTGCAGTTCTGGATTCATCCCTGATATTAACTCTAGTGGCCCCATGGGCTTAATTTCATCAGATGGGTGTATTGACAATGATTTAGCAATCTAATATCCTGGAGTAGGGGCAAAGAAGACAACTGATAATTATCCCAGATTCCTAGTTCATTGGCAGGTAATGCAACTGGTTTCTACACCCTGCTAATCAGGGTTAGTCTGATTGTGGAATCCTGTTTTTGTCTAGTCTCATTTGCATGAACAGACTAAAGGAAGAGAGTTAAATAATGGCTTCCTTTGTCTGATCTGGCCAGAGCAAAAGAGGTCTTAATAGGAGAGGGTGTTGTCCGCCATGTAGACATTTGCTGATGCACCCAGGTCATGAGTACACCTGCAGTGTTTTGTTTGTTTGTTTGGTTTTACTGGAAACATTTATTATGACAAGAAGTGAGAGCTACACAACAATGGGTTTGCCCAAGGTTAGAACTGCGGCAGGAGGTCCCCGGGCAAGGGCCTCCCTGTCCCGCACTTCTCATCTCTTGCCTGGAGGAGACCTTTGGCACTTGGCTGGCGGGGACAGAGGGCAGATGAAAGGCTATCAGATCCAGACTGTCAGAAGGGTCTAGAAATGAAGTGTGGAGGGCAAGTTATTAAAGTCCTCACCCCCTTCCCATTCCCGTTCTCGTTCCCGTTCCCGCTCCTGCCCCTGCTCCTGCTCCTGCCCCTGCTCCTGCTCCTGCGTGGTCTTGGGCTGAGTTGTGGAGGCCTCTGGGTTCCCGGGCGTCTTAGAGCTGATGCTGCTGCTGCTGTTGGTGACACGGGGCCCATACCAGCCTGCCCAGAACTGGGTGTCTTTGCCCCCATGCTGGAAGAGGATGTGGCGGATGCCTGGAGGGTAATCTGAGAAGGTGTGAGAGACCTCTGTCCACTGGGTATTGTTCCACTGCTGGATGGTCACAGGTCGGGGCTCGAAGGAGGCCAAGGCGATGTAGTGGCTGAGACCAGCTGTACTCGGATGTTGTAGGTGCAGCCACAGTCTGCTCTGGCGGCAAACCAGTCCTTCACCACGATGTCAGGCCGGATTATGTCCATTAGTTCCTCCCAGTAGCCCTCAGCTTTGAGGTCCACCATCTGGGACTTGAGGCATAATCCAAAGGATGTGACAAAGTACTTCCTGACCTTAGAGGTAGGAAAATCTTGCCCATGGCCTCCAGGTAAGCTCTCCGCCTTCCAGTGGTCCCCCCCATTGTCGATTTGCCAGGATCTCAAACCCTCTTCAGCACATGGGTTGTGTAGGAGGTTCCTGCGGAGGCTGCACAAAAAGTAAAAAATCTTCCAGTCAGACACAGGCTCATCGCAGTCCTCGATGATGAAGCCTTTACGCAGGCTCTTGTGTTTCCAGAGGGTCACAAGGTTGATGAGGTTGAGCCAGAGGCTGCAGACAGGGCGGCAGCCCAATACCAGCTGATGGGCAGGCACATATGTGAATACCTCCAGCAAGATGTTCTCAGGCAGTTCATTGATGCTGACCAGGGCCATAGCTGGGCTGGGGTGCACACACAGGCCTGTGTGTATGTGTGGGCCGGGGGGCGGGGGGGCAATAATGATGGTTATGAGCCCTGACCAAGGAGGTGGATTCCTCAGATCCTTCAGGGTCCTGGGACTGGGCCTTCTAATCCTGCTTTCTCTCCCGCCTGTCTCCCCCCTGCCTGTCCTCCTGCTGGCTGCAACCTGAGCCCCACGCGGGATGCTGGGCGGGACCCGAGCTGCGCATCTACCTCTTGTTTGTTTGTTTTTAATACTGTATGTTTTATTGATTTTTAGAGAGAGGAAGAGGGGGAGAGAGAAAAACGTTTATCACCTGCCTCTACATGAAAAACCCAAGGGTGGGGAATGCAAACTGGAGTCAAGAATGAGGCTACAGGTGTGTGCCCCAGTGACCAACACACTTACTTTGGGTAGGAAGCTTCTGAGTGGCCAGGGCAGAAAGAGAACCCTCGTTGGATCTACCATTCACAATGTCCCTCAGATTTAAGAGTAAAATGCAGGTATAGGAAGAGCAATCCTCAGTACTAAAATGAGGTAAGAATTTCTCACAAGTATCCTCTTATCGAAATGATAGTTAAGCATTCTGATAATAAACAAAATGACAGATATTCTGGGTGTGCTCAAACACTAAACTCCCCAAGGGCAGTTGTCCATACCTGGAAATTAGATGTATTCAGACGAAGTGAGCATGGAACGTGTGCCTTATGTTGAATATGTTCAGATGAGCATTATTAGCATTATTCAGTAGGTTCACTGGTGCCACCTGGAAATGCGCCCCCATTTGCCTGGCAGAGTTTCAGTTCATTCCTGTGAACACTCCGTTTTTATTTTCAAGTGTCCCCATTTGAATAATAAAACATACAGTCATTCTATTTAGAAAGCTCCAGACCAACCTCAGGAGGCCCTCCCCAGCTCATCCAACTCCATAGACATGCATGATCCTCAGGCCAACATGATAGGCTCCCCTGAAAGCTGAGTCTCCTTCCTTAGTGGATCTCTGTACCCGAATCCTTGGAGCTAAGTAAACACGTATGCTAAAACATGTGTGAACTTGATTCTTGTGTGCAAGCCAACAAACCAGGCAGGTTTACAGATGTTACAAGTTTCAGAGGGCTGCACCTTAGACTCAGTGGGAAATCCCAGTATAGTACAGTTCTGTAAAAGCAATTCTACAAAGGACAACCTCTTTTCAGGCTGGGAGGTAGCTCTCTCTGATGCGATTTAATGAAGCAGACTCAAGGGAAATTAGAATTTTTCTTAGGAAGCCAAGAGTTCTAGCACATGACTACATAGGTGGTGGTATGGACATCTGTTATTTTTACTTCATTCATTTGCCCTCTCATCCTCTTACCTTCAAATTTCTCTCTGAGGAAGCATTCTGTTCCCAACTGTTAGTCCATATGGTTCTGGTGAAGCTGACCACACCTGACTTGGGGTGGAGTGGGTGACCTAGGTGTAAGCCAGCACATCATAGTCGTTGGCCCTTGTGACTGATTCAAGGATGGATACATGGTCAGGTACTTTTGGAAAGAAACTTGATGCCGAGAGGATGTGGTGGCTAAACTGACATGGCCATCTAGTTATCGCATGGCACCTGGGTCAGTAGAAGAGAGAATGGTATGATCACAATTGCAGCTGTGTCTCAAGTCAGAACTACTCTTGGGCTTTTATGAGCCATTTTTGCTTAAGTGAGAATAACACTTGTTACATAAAAGCCTTAAATGGTACGATGACGAAAAATGCTAAATCTGCCTCCTAAACATGGCTAAGATGGTTGGACAGAATATGGTTCAAGGCAGAAAGTACCAGTTACCATTGGCACAGAAAAACTTGTATCATGTACCATGAAACACGATTTTGAGGAGCATCTTTCTAGAAAACCTGTTATCATTCAGAAGTTGCAAAATGTAACCCTTATGTAACAAAATGATCAAACTTTCATGGAATTGTTGGCAACGAACTAAATAAATTCTGATTGCCATCTCAAGACATAAAGGTTTTCATTTTAGAGTTGTTATTTTAGGCCATTCTTTCTGAAAATAGTTGATTAGGAAGGATAAGATAGTCTACTGAGACCATTCCTAGTTTTTGACAGTAAAATCAAACCATCAACATCATGTTATTACTTAGGTGTTTTCTCCAATAGACATCTGTAAACAAAACAACCCATTAAGGACAGTTGGGCTTTGAGAACTTTCTGGGACAGATAAATTAATTCACACCTAGGAGAGCTAAGCTCTAATGGCTTTAAATGGTCCATGTGGTTGAAAAAACACTGGTTTGGAAATCAGAAAGCCTGAGTTCTAGTTTCAGTTCTGGTGCAAAATTAACTCATTGATTCTGACCAAGTCCTTTTAACCTCCATGAGCCTCAGTTTTGTTTTGTTTTGTTTTCTATAAAACAGTATTTAGATTAAAAAACAATTATAAGATTTTATTTGAGCCAAACTGATGACATTCTGGGGAATAAGATTGCAAATGCTGTCCTAGACTAGATGTTGACTAAAGTCTCTTCCAGTTTTACGGTCTCTTTATAAATAGGAAGACTTCTTTATAGAAACCACATGAGTAATTTGTAAGATACAGAAATAATAAAAGTGGCATTTATTGCATTTCCCTTGTATTCATGTATAAACTCTGTTTTCTGTACTTAGGCCTTTAGTGAAATAAGACAAAAATAAAACAAGGAAGGATCAGTGTTATGAAGAACTAAAAATAAGTATAATGAATGGTGCTCGCATATACATTACTCAATAGGCACTTTGTTCCTGGGCTAGGAATATGAATGTGACATGGTCCTTGTCCTTAAGAAGCTTTCAGTGTAATACTTGGATATTAACTATAGTTCAACTAAGTAAGTTCACCACAAAAGTGAGCATACAGGTCTGAGCCTACAGAGGGGGATGCTGAAGCCAGATAGTGAGTTTAGAGAAGTCTTCTTAGAGCTGACCATTATGAGAATATTTTAAAGGATGTATGGAGAATTCTAGGCAGAGGGATTACCAGGTATTGAATCCTATTTTTATTATTATGGAAATAAGATATTTGGAAAATGAATGTATGCATGTAAATTTAGATTTTTTTTTTCCTTTTGGTGAATTTGCTCTATTTGAGTTAAG